CACACATACACGTATACACGTGCACACATACAAAACGCGCACACACAGATACATGCATAATGCACACAGAGATACATGCATATGCATGCGCGCACACATGTGCACGCACACATTATTGCAGCACTAGATGCATTCTGATCTCTGCCTAATGTTGAGTTTGGAAGATAAGCATGTACACAAGATCACACGAGCATCGGCCCATTGCACACGGAGCCGTAAGGCACCGTGGAAGCAGAAGATGCTAAGGTGGCAGTGGAAAAGCAGAGCCCTGAAGAGCAGGGAGGGCCGCCGTGGGCCCATGAGGCACGGGCATCAGCCCGCACGAGTGTGGAGTGTGTGCAAGTGCAGAGACCGGAAAGAGCCCTGGGTGTGCAGAGAAGTCAGTGCTCGGGGAGAAGGAAGGAACACCCTTCTGTTCACACCAGACCCCAGAGGCTGTCTTCAGGATTCTCTTTCCTTTTTCTCCAGAAATGCAATTCTTTAAAAACTCCTTCTGTCTCTAATGTCAGATTCTAGGTGGGATCTGTCAAATTCTTTGCCATGTTCAGGCCATTCCCACCTCTTTCTCAGAATTAAAACACTTTCCTAATTAGTATTTGTCCCCAGTCTTTCTTCACTGCCCATTTTGTAGATGGCAGCCAACCCGTGCTTTAGAAAATATTCGCCATGTAACAGATCTGTCCTTCTTCTGAGTTCTGAGAGTGTCACCTCTTCAGCTCGTCCCCAAAGTTCGTCCTTCACCCCTTTCCCCTTCGTGCCTCCCCAGCTTCCTCCTCAGACCCAAGTTCTTCAGACCTTTTGTTCCTGCTCGTGGGGATTTCATCTGTCCTGTAAAGTAAGTTTGCCTTTTAGTGTCCTGGTTTTTCCGGTAAACAGCATTCCTTCCCCATTAGAGACTGGTGTGGGATTGCAGACTCCCATAATTTGCATTCCCACAACTGAGAACAAGGAGGAAAAGAATCCGAGCTCAGCCGTGCCCTTGTAGAGAGAGCTCATCGTGGAGCGCCCCGTCCTGGTCGCGCCCGGACCGAGCTGCGAGGGGGCTCTGGGGGCTCTGCAGTCGCACATCTCGGGCTTTGTCACTCTTCCTGGCCCATCGGGTCAGTGAGACCCTCGTTGACTAGCTTCGTCTCCCACCCTCTCCAGGATGATTGTAAACCTGTCTCTCTCACACCTCAAGCCCTATCGCACCATAGAGTCCAGCTTCCTCCCTCTCGGAAAGGCACTCGGTTCCCCATAAATATCAACACATCATGCCTCTCCACCCCTGTCCTCTGTAATGCAAGGCAGAAACGTCCTTCCCTTTGCATATGGCAGACTCCATATGGCAGAGTCCAGCTTCCTCCCTCTCAGAAAGGCACTCGGTTCCCCATAAATATCAACACATCATGCCTCTCCTCCCCTGTCCTCTGTAATGCAAGGCAGAAACGTCCTTCCCTTTGCATATGGCAGACTCCAACCATGTGGGGTTGAGACCCACCGCTTTCCGACTTGGCAAAGAACATCCACCGAACCAAAATCTCATCTAGGTCACGGAACAAGGATTATCTTTCATTGTTGTGCTCCATGTGCATCCGCAACGTGCACAGGCATTGCTCCGAAGTATCTGTGAAACAGGATTCGTCAGGAATCCCTCTCTTACCTGCAACCGCAGTCAGGTTTCCATTGGACAGGTTGATTCTGAGTGCTAATGTCACTTTCTCACCATCTTTTAAAATTAGGTAATGGTTTACCCGATCAATAAGGAGTTAAAACAGTTAACCCTTCAAAGGCCACTTTATTCTCAGAATTAGCTGATGCCTCTCATGTGGCTTCAGAAAGCTGATAGAGGAAAAGTAAAAAAATGAACAGTGCAAAGTACCTGTCATAACGCATATTGTTTAGTCTCAGGGTGTCCTGTGGAAGAGACGGGCTTTACAAAGGATTATGCAGGACGTAGGTGAATATTTGTCAGGATTTCATATACCGGTGTTGATGTGCGATCTCATGAGGGCTAGTATATGACTTTTCAAAAAAGATTTTATTTATTTGACATAGAGATAGAGAGGGAATGAGAGAATAAGCAGAGGGAGCTGCAGAGGGAGAGGGAGAAGCAGGTTCCCCAATGAGCGGGGGGCCTGAATGCGGGGCTCGATCCCAGGACCCTGGGATCATAACCTGAGTCGAAGGCAGACGCTTAATCGACTGAGCCACCCAGGCGCCCCTAATATATGACTTTTACAAGAACACTGTATATTTCATCATGGACCAACGAGAAGTAAAGAATAACTACAACTTTATAGTATAAGCCAGGGAAATTATATTTTATACGAAAGAGGGTAGTAAATGCCAGCATATAAATTACTTTTTGAATTACGTTTTCCCAGGTCTGCAGGCTACTAGGTGTTTCAATGACAAAAATCTGTACGTAAGCAAAAGCTGAGTGTTCATGCTGTGTTATAAAAGGGCCCCTTGAAGGAAGAAAGATGTAACACTCTTGAATGGAAATGCAGCTTGCTTTTTTGGAAGCAGGAGGATCATTTCCAGGGTTGACAGACTGCAAAGGTTTTATAGTTGCGTCAGGCAACTGGGGTATTCTTCTAGCTCTTACAAATGGAGCCGAGAGGAGGAAATACGCTGAATCTCTTGATCTGTAAAATGATTCAGAATTTTGACATTTGAAAAAATCGTATTCATTCAGTTTTCTTACCTTTGGGGCTATTAAAGAGTATCAATCGTACCTCATATCTTTTCACAACACGTAGAAATGATTTTATTGCATTTTGGTTTATTACTGACAGTGCAGGACTCCCCCTTAGAGTTAGGGCCACGCTCCTAGGACAGAGGCCCGCGTCTCTCTGTCCTTCCCGTGTGGGGTGACTCGGCAACGCTAGCGTGGATGCATTTCAATAAAGCAACGGCATTTCCATCTTGAGATACAGAAAACTATGTCCTTGCGTATATGTAATGAAAAATAAAAGTGTGTGTAGGACATAATAAAGTAGGAAGATAAAATTCACATAGAGATTAAACATAGTATCTAAACTTTTGCTCATCCATGGCAAATTCTCGAAGTCACAGATTATTAAGGGAATTAGAAGCATAAATGGGCTTGTGAAGATCTTCAATCCTTAGTTAGCGAGTTAACAGATACTTTAGGTGTGACCAGCAGGATTCTCGACGTGCCCGGCAATCAGGAAAGGGATGAGTTTTGCCCGAGAGGCCTGTGGGTTCTGTGTCCTGGCCCAGCTTCTGTGTGCTCCGAGCTCTCTGTGCTGCTGGGCACACTGGCTCTCCCTGGGGGGTGACCCAGCGCCTCTCAGAAAGTAGCTGGGATGCTGTGATTTATAATCAGCAGCATGGATTCGGTCTTCATTCCTGGCACAGAGACTCCATAACCATGCAAACAGGAGGCTGAACAGGGAGGTCTGGGGGAGAGCGGTGCGCCTCGGGAGGGTGCAGAAGCTCTGTGTCCCTTCTCCCGGACTGGACTCTGGGCATCTCTTCATCTGCCTCATCCTGACTTACAGCCTTTTATAATAAACCGATAGGTAATTTAGTGAGTAAATGTTTCTGAGTTCTGTGAGCCACTCTAGCAAAATACCGGAACCCAAGGAGTTGGTGGTTGGAACCTCCGCTTTATAGCAGGTAGCGAGAGTCACAGGTGACAGCCTGGATTTGTGATTGGTCTCTGAAGTGGGGGGGCAGTCCTACAGGACTGAGCCCTTACCCTAGAAGATCCAATGCTCTGCAGGGAGATGGTGTAGACGGTGTCAGAGTGGGACACCCTCCTCCCCGACGTGGATGGTGTCTGTAGGGGATCTGATGCCATCTGTAGGGACATGGTGTAGACGGTGTCAGAGGGGATGTCCCCCTGACGTGGACGGTGTCCGTAGAGGATCTGATACAATCTCCAGGGAGATGGTGTAGACGGTGTGAGAGGGGGATGTCCCCCTGACGTGGACGGTGTCCGTAGGGGATCTGATGCCGTCTGCAGGGAGATGGTGTAGACGGTGGGAGAGGGGATGTCCCCCTGACGTGGACGGTGTCCCTAGGGGATCCGATACCATCTGCAGGGACATGGTGTAGACGGTGTCAGAGGGAGATGCACCCCCTGACATGGATGGTGTCCCTAGGGGATTCAATGCTGTCTTAAGGTAGATGGTGTCAGAACTGAGCTGAATTGTAGGACACCCTGGTGGTGTTTGAGGTCAGCCGGCAGTGTGATAAACCCCCAGTACACACACTGGATTTGGGTGCAGAAGGCTGGAACCTCATAAATGTTCTTGGGAATCCAAACGTTTATTTGAATTGTTTAAAGTACAACCTTGTACGTTAGAACCTGGGTCACGTGTGTCCCTTTCCTTTGAATCGTTGTGTAGATGATTCAGGGCGTGTGCTGGTGTGAGGAGCAGTGGGTGGTCGATGCAGGTTTCCTCCCGTGGTCCTCAGTTTCCCCCTCCTAATCCTGCCTCACCACAGGTCAGGAGTTTTGACCCCCACCAGCATCATTCCCCCGGGCTCCTGTCTTCCCAAGCCCACGAACCTCACAGAGCTGTCGGGAAGGGTTCTTATCGGTAGACAATCGGTGCAGCCCAAACTGTTCTCCACAAGGCTACTGGGAATCAGAAAGCAGGAAAGTCTTGTGGAATTTCTAACCGCGCCACTTCCAAAACTAGGGGTTGGGTAAAGGAGAGATTTGAGGCCAGTGGAAAGTTCTGAGATCCTTATTACTAAACCACGTAGATAATCACCTTGCTCTCTTAAAAGGAGGTGGTGGGTGGTGATGGGGGAGCGTGAGCTTGACATGAGACGGCCCTGGGATTACAGCTCAACCTCACTACTGCTTGAATTGCGTGAAACCGGACACTGTTCTTAGTATTTTTGAACCTCGCGGTTTTTGTGTTTAATATGTGCAGGCTAACGTCACTTCCTTGGGGGTCTGCAAACGATGGCCCACAGGCCACATCCGGCCCACCGCCGGTTTTTGTAAATAAAATGGTATTGGCCCACGGCCACACTCCCTTGTTTACAGATCACCTGTGGCTGCTTTTGTGTCATCATGAGAGCTCAGTACTTGGGTGAGACCGTGAGGGCCCCGAAGCCAAAACTATTTGCTGCCCAGCCCTCGACTAAACAGTTGATTGTGAGCCACTCTAGCAAATTAACTGAACATAGGACAGCTGTATGAATAGAAATAGAATGGTGTGGAAGCTCGTCAAGCACACCAAAGAGCACCAGATGTACACCTGGAGAAAGCATTAGGTGGACTGGTCTTGCTGCAGCAGAGGGAAATGTGCCCTGGAGAAACAAGCATGGAACAGTGGAAATCCAGGGAGGTTCAAATAGGGTCTGCCGCTCCCGGAGTTCAAGATTCAGCTGGAGGAACAAATTGAAGGGGGGAAAAGTGATTGAAAGCTGGGAGAATATGGATATGCTGAGGAGGGTTTGTTTCCGTACATCGTGGGAAGTCATCTCTGAGGATGGCAGGTGGGGACTTTGGGAGGACAAAGTGTTGTACCCGTCATGGACGAGGAGCGTGGGCTGGTACATTCTGAGCTCATGGGCTCTGAAACGTACTGACGAAGGAGCCCAACAGATTGTAGGAATTAAGAATATGGCACAAATGGGGAAGATGCAGCTACGTTAAAACAGCAAAATAGAAGGAACACTAAAACCAGAGCCAGATCGTGCCACAAAACGGCGGCGGAGAAGAAACAGCCTAGCCTAGGGCGGTGGGAATCAAAGTTTGAATTTACCTGATTCGGAAGACTGTTTCCTGGTGTTCCGTTTGATTAGAGACTTTCTCTGAGTGCCGCTGCGTACGGGACATCTGAGGCTTGGGATCATTCTGAATCCCGTTTACACTGCGCTTGCTTTGCAGTAAGTACGCGGTGAATGCAGTGTTGACGCTGACCGCGGGGGAAGATCCTGTTAAGAAACAGCAGCGACTATGCATATACGTACTCAGGTCCCCTCTCCTACGGCAACTGTCCCACCCCATTCTCATAACTCTTGTTTCCAAGACACTCTTTGGCTACTTTTCCAAAGAATAGGCAGCAGCAGCTTGTGAGACGCGAACAACTCCTTCCCTCCTCCCTGTGTTCTCTCCTCGACGATGTCCTGTGAGTGAGCCTTTGGGAGCACTCTCCACTGTGTGTGGGATCACGTGCACACCTGCCTGGTGGTATGGCAGGAGCTCCGGGTGCCTGAGCTTTATATGTACGGCCTCTGGCTCACTGCCTGACACTTAGGAAGTGGTCACTAAGTACTGACGGGAAAGCATGAATGAGTGAATCAATGCACCCTTCAACTCCATTCCCAATCTAGTGTATCATTGCACTGCATTTGCTGACTCCTAGTATTTCATGTACAAAGTCGACTGAACATTCAGGGCCTCGCTCCGGGCATTGATGTATAATGCTGGTACGTCTATGAAAAGCTCTCTGTATTGTTCCCAGGCCAGTTCGTATTTTCATAGTATTTCAATTACTTTCTTCACAGCTACAAAGAATACATATATAATGAAAAATACCAGCCATACCTCTTTTTTAAATCAGAGCAGCTTTCCCACCCAGCGAACGTGTACTGATTACCGATTCTTTCTGACCAGGAAATCACAATGTTGTACTTTGTTGCAGAAGAGCAACCTGGGAAAACCAGAAAGAGCATGATGCACATGCAGCCCCCTTTCCAACAACGACGGCCCGCGCGCCTCCTGGAAATCGGAGCCCCCTTCTATCAAGACAACCAACTGCAGGTGAAGGTCTACTGGAAAAAGACTGAAGGTGCGCAAACATTCTCTGATGATTTGTTATCTGCATCGAGTAGCCCAGTGACATCAGGTGGCTAGTGAAAAAGTCAAGGTTGAGCCATGGTGTTGACAGTTTTTTTTTAAAGATTTATTTATTTTAGAGACAGAGAGGAGAACAGCGAGGGGAGGGGGAGAGGGAGAAGCTAAGCAGACTCAACGATCAGCACAGAGCCCAATGTGGGGATCGATCTCATGACCGTGAGATCATGGCCTGAGCTGAAACCAAGAGGCAGACGCTTAACCGACTAGCCACCCAGGCACTCCCACCACAGTGTTGATATTAAGGAAAATAGAGCCCGAACAAAACATTTAGATCCCTTTTTTTTTTTTTTTTTAATGCCTTGCTGTTGTGAAGTCTGAGTGAGCTGCCCCTTCTTTCCCAGGAATCCGCATCATGTTTGGAAATCAGCATCAGTCAGCCAGTTGCATTTTATCGTCTCAGGGATGTTAGCTTGTCTTTACTGCTCTCCCAGAAGGCCAATCTTGTCTCCCAAACAATCAAGATACTCATTATTCTACACTGTAAATTTTTGTTCTAAATTAGTTTTTTGTTTAAAAAAAGATGCACAGGAGCGCCTGGGTGGCTCAGTCGTTAAGCGTCTGCCTTCGGCTCAGGTCATGGTCCCAGGGTCCTGGAATTGAGCCCTGCATCGGGCTCCCTGCTCATCGGGAAGCCTGCTTCTCCCTCTCCCTCTGCCTGCCGCTCCCCCTGCTTGTGCTCTCTCTCTCTCTCAAATAAATAAATAAAATCTTTTAAAAAAAGATGCACAACCCCAATAACTTGGAAAATAGAGAAAGAAGTCACTTACTTCAGTATTATCTCTTAGAAACAGCGTTTTGGCAGATGTCCTTTTGAAAGTTTCCTACACTTCTGTTCTTCCCTCATTTGTTTTTATTCACACAGATGTATAATATTTTTATGTAGAACATACGCACTTTCATATAACATGGGAGCATTCTGCATTATCCTGTATTTGTGGGGCCGTGTTTAACTCGCTGCTGTGTAGGGACACACAACAATATCCTAAAACACCATCATTCCACTACAGCCAAACTCTTGGATGCCTTCAGAGTTTCCATTTTACAGTTAATACTGCAAGGAAGATTTACCCTTAGAATTAATTCTGTTTGAGTATTTGTTTGAATAGTTGTCTTTAGGATAAATTCATTTCCTTTGGTTTTCTTTATTAAGATTTTTTTTGCATTATTGAAATAGTATTTTTGGAATTATCTGATCTACATTTCCATGTTTATCACTCGCATGCCTTTTGAAAACAAAAGAAAAATAGATTGTTTTAAGAGTTCGGTTTTAACAGTTCTTCCAGTTCTTCTGAAGTGTGGTGTTACTCAGGATATCAGCCCGTGTGCCACACAGAATATCGGAGTTAGAAGGGTGCCTGGATGGCTCAGTCAGTTGAGCATCTGACTCTTGATCTTCGCTCAGGTCTTGATCTCAGGGTTGTGAATTCAGGCCCCATCATGGGATCCATGCTGGGCATGGAACCTACGGGTATAAAAAAAAAAAAAAAAAAAGGGATATTGGTGTTGGAGTTCTTCTTGTTCCAGAATTTTCTTCCAAGCTGCTGACATGCATTCTGCAGCTAAAATAATATCACAGTGAATATTAATGTTTTATTACTCTCATATATTAATGAAAACTAAATTGTATTTATTCAGTGTTATTTATTAAATTAAAAATTATTCATTAATATATATTCCTATTCCTAAGTTTAATAGTTTTAGAATAAATATTGTTACAAAATTTAATCTATTATATTTACCAATTTTAGATTAGAATTGTATATCGTTGATATATCAATAGTAAAACATTGCCATAATATTGAAAATATAAACATCCTCTATAATGAAATAGAAATATAAACATTGAGAATACATCTTAAGCATACAAGAGCAAGCACTGCCATCATGACTTCTAAACGTGAAGGTTGGTTTTGCCGATATTTGAAATGTATACAACTTGAACCCATACGGTGTGTACTGCGCTTCTTGCAGTGAACACGATACAGGAAATGGGAAACGGACGCATTCTGTTGCAGGACGCACTAATTCATCCATGTCTATGCTGCTCCTAGCCCCTGGTAGAGCTCCGCTGATGGCTCTTTTCAGCCGGTGCTGGGGGATTTGGTTTGTCCTGCTGATGGGCTCTGCAGCACAGTGCTGCTGTGAACACAGGCCTTTGATGTACATATTCTCCCGGACGAGGGGGGACTCTTGGGTGATTCGAGCATGCGGAGCTTTGGAAGACACCGACAGTCTCCCACAGTGGTTGCACCGGCCATTCCCACTTGCAGGGTACGATCGTCCCAGTGCGCCCCCCTCTCTCTGCCGTGTGGAATTCCCATCTTTTTGACTTGAGCTGTTCTGGCACCTGCGTCTCAATAACTCCACGTTGTCTGAGCTTGCATTTTTTTTAAAGATTTATTTATTTATTTGAGAGAGTGAGAATGAGAGAGAGAGAGAGAGTACATGAGAGGGGGGAGGGTCGGAGGGAGAAGCAGGCTCCTCGCTGAGCAGGGAGCCCGATGCGGGACTCGATCCCGGGACTCCAGGATCATGACCTGAGCCGAAGGCAGTCGCTTAACCAACTGAGCCACCCAGGTGCCCCTGAGCTTGCATTTTTAAGCTGTTCAGGCAGGCTGTCCTTCCTGCAAGAGGCCTTCACATGTTGAGTATATGAGTCACCTGCTGGTTCCCTGGTTTTGGTGTTTTCTCCCTGTGCGACCTACTCTTACATTCCTCCCTTTCTCAGTGGTTCTGAGTTTGAGAGGAGGGATCCATTCATCTCTTTGTTTCCTTTAGGTGAGAGCTCTTGCTGTCCTGGTTGAGGATCTTTGCTTATACAGGGTCACAAAGATCCTCCCGTCATCTCCTAGAAGTTAGACGGCTTCCCCTCTCTCTCTTAGGCCGACTCCCACCTGGAACAGACTTTACTCGTAGGGCTCACTGTTCCTTTACTCTTCTCTCCCTCCTGATCTGCGGCTGACACAGCATCATTTATTTAAAGATGACTCCTTCCCCAAACCTCTGGGCTGCTACCCTGGCCCTACATCAAAAGTATGGGCAAGTTAACTTTTTAACTTTCTGCACAGTCATTGGGCATATTTTTCCAACTTTCTGGCACTACCTTGTTGTCTTAACTACCACAGATTTGTAAATATTTTTAATCGTAGTTCTTGTTTTTTAACTTCATTTTCAAATTGTCTTGACTCTTCTTGGCCCTTTGTATTTTTATATCAGTATTTGCATTAATTTGCCAATCTCCACAAAACCTTTGTAAGATCTTTGTTGAAATTACAATCAATCTATATGGTAATGACTGCAAAATTCACATCTTAAAAATCTCCACTTGACGTATAACTTTATTCAGGTTTTTCAAATTTTCTCTGAACAGTGATTTATAATATATACTGCAGAGGTTATAATACTTTTAATATGATTATTCTAAGGCGTTTGTGTTTATTTTGATCCCATTACATACATGCATACTTTTTCCTGTTTTCTTTTTTTTAATTTTATTATGTTATGTTAGTCACCATACATCGTTAGTTTTTGATGTAGTGATCCACAATTCATTGTTTTCATATAACACCCAGTGCTTCATGCAGTACGTGCCCTCCTTAATACCCATCACCAGGCGAACCCATCCCCCCACCCCCCTCCCCTCTAGAACCCTCAGTTTGTTTCTCAGAGTCCATCGTCTCTCA